TAGGGTTTAGGGTTTAAGGGTCTTCGGATTTAGGGTGTAGGGTTGAAGGGTTTTCGGATCTAGAGTTTAGGGTTGAAGCGGTTTCGGATTCAGGATTTAGGGTTGAAAGGTTTTCGGATTTAGGGTTCAGTGTTTAAGGGTTTTCGGATTTAGGATTTAGTGTGTAAGGGTGTTCGGATTTAGGGTTTAAGGCTAAGGTTTTCGGATTTAGGGTTTAGGGTTTAAGAGTTTTCGCATTTAGGGTTTACGGTTTAGGGTTTAAGGGTTTTCGGATTTAGGGTTTAGGGTTGAAGGCTAAGGTTTTCGGATTTAGGGTTTAGAGTTTAAGAGTTTTCGCATTTAGGGTTTACGGTTTAGGGTTTTCGGATTTAGGGTTTAGGGTTGAAGGGGTTTTCGGATTTACTGTTTGGGGTTTAGGTGTTTTCGCATTTAGGGTTTAGGGGTGCGGGGCGGTGGGGTCTGGGCCTGGGGGTAAGCTCCAAACCACTTGAATCTTACTGCTTTGAGGTTTGGGAGTAGATGTCAAAGCAACGCCATGGAGCCCTTCATGCCATGTTTGATCTGTTCAGGGTTTGGCCTTATTATTGGCGCTTCTATATAGTCGCAGGGGGTTCGAGGGATTGCTTTAGGGCTGGCTGGGCTGGTTTAGGATTTAGGTTTAAGAGCAGTCAGAGCTTACGTAGGATTTGCGTGTAAGGGCATTGCTCTAGACCCCCCTCGAAACCCGAACTCAATCTTGAAACCCGATCCCGGGCCGAGGTCTTTGCCTGCACCTGATGGTGATAGGTCAGCTTCCGCGTCGCATGCACGAGTATGCCAAGTTTTCGGATTTCTGTGACTTGGCGAGTTGTGTTGTTTTGTTGGTTGGGACATCGTGGTGAACCAAGTGGTCTAAACAATACTGTTGATGATATAAATCCTGCATTACCTTAAGGACCCTAAACTATGGGAATTATGGTATATTCCATGTTATGGTTAACGCAGGATTTATATCATCAACCGTAGCCAAAATGTTGAGGATTTAAAGGAATTGTTCCTTACGATTGCATGGCTCTAAGGGTTTCAGGTGGTCGGCCCCAGACATGCTTCTAAAGGCAGGACCCTTAATCTAAGGTTGAACCCATGGGCCCCTAACATGGGCCCTTAGGAGATTCTAGGGTCCCTTAAGGGTATATATATATATATATATAGGGTATATAGTAGGTATATTAGGGTCCCAGGGTTAGGGGCCCATACTAGGGGCCCATGGGTTCTCCCTTAGACTTAACAAAGTCTGCAGAAGGCAAACTGTTGAGTGCCTAAGCGGCTGACATATTGAAACTACAGCTTGAAGCCGAGGACACCCCTGCAGAAAGCTCACGGAGAAACCTTCTACCCCAACCCCTAAACCCCAAGCCCTAAACCCTGAACCCTAAACCCTAAACCCTAAACCCTTATAGAACCCAAAGCGTCCCTTCAAGTTCTCGACCTTCGAAGCACCGAGGCAATGCCGTTCAGCGGCTCCCAGTCAATTGCACGGGTCCTGACTGGAAAGCCCTGTCGGAGGAATGCAAGCAGCTTGAACTTCCACCAGAAGAACCCTTAAAGGGTTCCTTTAAGGGTTCTATGAAGGCGAATTACTATTAAGGGCTACTATTAAGGGTTTAGGGTTTAGGGGCCTAAACTTGCACTTCCAAGAGCAACCTGATCACCCTAACAGCCTGGGCCTTCTAGGGTCCAGGAAGGGATTAAGAGGGTTTAAGTTGTAAGGAATTCTGAAGTTTTATGTGGGAGTTTACGGGTCGTCCGCGTGCTCGCTCGGGGCTGAGATGGTTTAGCGTCGGGTGGAGGACTGAACCCTAAACCCTTAAACTTCTAAACCCGGAGAGTAACATAGGGGTCTAAAGAATTACCTATACTATTTTGGGGGCTCCCTATTATAAATATATTATAAAGAATCCCCAAACCCTATTCTAACTATTAAGGCCCCTGCATTACTCCCTGATCAGCCCCTCCTCAAAGTCCTTTCGAAAGGATCACAACCGCTCCACGACCCCTACTTGGAGGTTCATGGGTACAGAAGCTATAAGTGGGGTTGTAAGTCCCCTAATATGGCTTAAAACTAAGGTTCCTTTAAGGGTTCTATAGGGTTGCGGGTTTAGGGAAGTTATAAGTGGGGTTACCCCTAATATGGGTTATAACATGTTATAACCCTAGTTACCCTACTTATAAACCCAACTATACCTTCCCATGAACGTCCAAGTAAGGAGGTATTAATCAGGAGTGCCGCAAGGTGCATGGTTGAGGTATGTTGAGGTTATTTTTCTATCTTAGTGTGTCTTGGGCGTAAAACCCTGGAGCCTAAGCCGCAACGGTACAACTTAGCACACCCTAAACTCTAAACCCTAAGCCGTACAGCAGATTTTGCTGGTGGCTTGGTCTGGGGGTTTTCGCGGCTGTGCTAGGGTGAGTCTGCCTTCCTGGACAATACGGCAATGTTTTTTCGAAGTCCCACCAGGCTGTGCGAATACCTTATCTGCTGTGGGATGATAAACATAGAGGCCTTAATAATTACCTATATTACTAATTTGAGGGCTCCTTATTAAGATTATAGCATACTATTCCCCAAACCCTATTCTAATCATTCAGACCCCTAAATTATGGTGAAGCCCAAACTCCTAATTTCTGAACCACACAACAAACCGACAGGTGCACAGTGAAGCAATCCCAAACCCCAAACCCTAAATCCTAGACCCTAAACCCTGAACCTCGAATCCTAAACTCGAAACTCTGAACCTTGAATCCTAGACCCCTAAACCCTGAACCTTCAATCCTAGACCCTAAACCCTCAACCAGGTACACAGTGCAGCAATGCCTCGCAGTAGACAAGACCCTGCGTCCGGCGGCTCTCATCATCGCCAACTTCAAGCGGCCATGTCTGAAGCTCTATGGGCTGGCGGTGAAGGGTTTTAGGGTTTAGGGTTTTAGGGTTTAGGGCTTATGGGCTGGCGGTTAAGGGTTTTAGGGTTTAGGGTTTACGGTTTTAGGGTCTAGGGTTTAGGGCTTAGGGGCTGGCGGTTAAGGGTTTCAGGGTTTAGGGTTTCGGGCTTAGGGTTTTAGGGTTTAGGGTTTAGGGGCTGGCGGTCAAGGTTTTTAGGGTTTAGGGTTTACGGTTTTAGGGTCTGGGGTTTTAGGGTTTCGGTTTTAGGGTTTAGGGTTTACGGTTTTAGGGTCTAGGGTTTAGGGCTTAGGGGCTGGCGGTTCAGGGTTGTAGGGTTTAGGGTTTACGGTTTTAGTTTTGAGGGTTTCGGGTTTAGGGCTTTAGGGTTTAAGGTTTACGGTTTTAGTTTTTAGAGTTTCGGGTTTAGGGTTTAGGGTTTTAGGGTTTCGGGTTTCGGGTTTAGGGCAGCTTCAGGGGCTCGACATTGGAGTAGACGGTATCATTGCTATGCAGCATTGAGGAGGCACTGAAGTTTCAGCTCTTCATCATAGTAACCGTCATCACCATCACCATCATCACCATCACCATCATCATCATCATCGTCATCATCATCATCATCATCATCGTCATCATCATCATCATTTGCAGCATCACCATGACAATCAGCATCGGCACCCTCATTGTCACAAGAATCGAAAGCGTAATCTGCATCGTCGTCGTGATCGCCATCATTATTCCCATCATGCCCATGACGACGGCATCAACGACAACCCATCATCATCGTCGTTATCGCTCTTGTGCTATGACAAATGAGGCATCTTCGCGATTTCGGGTTGGTGGGTTAAGGATGTGCGGTGTAGGATTTTCGGGTTTGGGGTTTAGGATGCGGTGAAGGAATTTTGGGATTTAGAGGGGTCCGTCGTTCACGGATTCAGTGATGACGTTCGTCTTCCATGCGTGCTGTCGTCCGAGGGCTTGGGTTTCACTGTTTAGAGTTTAGGGTTAGTGCTTCATGACTGGAAAACTTAAGGGCCTGTGTCTAGGGTTGCTGTTTCTTCCGACGGATTGCTTCGAAATAGATCCTGCTACTGACGTCTGTACTAGGTGCTGGGCTGAAAGGAAGCCGGTGTCTAGGGCTTGCTTGGTCTTTAGAGTGTCCATGGAGTCTGCGGCATGGAAGCCTCTTGGTTCATCGCCGTGACGGTGGGGCATTTGAGCCGGGGATCCATGCTGTTCATATGCACATAAAAAAAGGGGCCTTAATAATGACCTATAGTATTTTGGGGGTTCCTTATAACTACACTATAATTAATAAGGCCCCTACATTAGGGTACAGGCCTTCAAAGATGGGAACAGCAGATCGCCACAGCAACTGCCACGATATGCCACGACTAACGATGGACTCAACAAGTTAAGAGCGTCTAGCGGCTTGCACAATCCGTGGGGCTTTTGCCTGCAACCACTCCAATGACGGCAATGATTCCGCCAGAGGCCATGCGCCAGAAGCTGGATGCACTCGCACGGCGCTTTTTTGAGATGCTGGTAAGAGAGCAAGAGCTGGAGCTGGAGATGAGGGCTATGGATTCCGACGATCCTTTCGTGAGCAACCCAGCTGAGGTGGTGGAGCAGATGATGTTCGGACACGCCTTGGGATTTCAACCGGAACGAGCGTTCGACACACTGCCCGTGTACCAGGTTTGCTTCAACCTGCGCCGGCATCCAAAGACAGGCATCTTCCATTCGTTGAAGCAGAAACTCACCATCGAGATTCAAGAAGCTCCTGGAGCTGGGGAGCCGAATCAAGTCGTGGAGGTGTACGTTGAGATGGTTGGCGGAAACTTTCGCAGAGACGTTGTTACCGAGCAAGAATGTTGCCTTCGACTCCGCTTCTGGACTACCGACGAACGGCCAGTGTTCCTATCCAGCGTGTTCTGGCCCAGAGGAGGTTGCATGGTGGATAAGAACGGGATGCCGGTGACCATTGAGAATGGCGGCTATCTCTCTGACCCCCGGCATGACACTACAATCCCTGATGTTGGTGAGAATTATGACCGGGTGGAGGAAATTGAGCTTCCCGATGAAGTTCAGGAAGCTTGGGATCAGGGTCAATGTTTTCCAGGAGACGTACATCAAGCATGGCAGGATGGCTGCAGTTCCTTCGAGTTGCCTTTTGGAAGCTCGCCACCTATGTTTCAAAACCACACATTCCCACCTGCGGATGACGAAGCCGATGAGCCACTAGGATGCATCGTGAGCATGGTTATCAGCAGGTGGAGGGGCGCCAGAGCAGGGATTCTACCCAACGTTGCGCGGCAGTTGATTCTCTCCTACCTTTATTTTCCTCTGGAGCCATGTTCCTTTTCAGGGAGCCTGGCGGTTGCAGTAGGCGTGGACAACAATGATCAGGAAGAGGGTGAGGAGGAATCCTTCCAGGAAGGCGAGTGTCAAATTTGTGGCGGGCCTGCAGTTAGTTGGCTGGGTGGCCAGGAGTGTGAAAGCTGCTTCATGGAGCATTGATCAGCGCTAGACTCGCACAACCAAAGGTCCATGAATCGTTTGAAAGCTTGAAAATGAGAATGCTGCTCCTAGGGTTCATGGTCCCAGAGGTTTGACAGAGGTTTGAGATAGGCTTGAGATAGTTTTGAGATAGGCTTCAGATGGGTTTGAGACAGGCTTGAGATAGGTTTGGTAGGGGTTGTCAGTTTTAACTGGTCATAATCATGGGTTCTGGGGACATGATTCACTGGCCGGCTGCGAGATGTCAAGCCTTGCAACGATTCAATTGACACTAGCCGGGGTTGATTGGATATATCTGTATATATATATATAGATAGATAGACATGGCGACTTTTCAGGAAGGGCCAAATATCCTACGTACCGGTTAATTTGCATACATGTACATTTATAACTTATGTTGTATGCATAGACATATCAGCGACATGAAGGTACAGGTATTTGCCGAGTATGGCTGCGTATATATATATATATATGTGTGTGTAGTACAAACCCTTCGCCTGGGTTCTGGGATTTGTATTCATTCTGTAGAAGTGGTAAATAATCTAGTATACCCCAACAAACTGTTCAAACTATTATGCTACACTTGGCCATACCGATGCCACGTGAATCGGCAGCACTGCTTCATACTGCTCCCTTTTCCAATCATCTTCCAAAGCCCAGTTCCCTACAGCGTCTTATTCTGCATAGGGTTACGTGGCCACTACCGCTACCACTACCGCTGAACTACTACTACTACTACTACTA